AGATAGATCGATCGATGTCTCTGTGTTTGAAAGATGTGTGTAGATGTACATACACCTGTGCTGCATGTGCAGGTTCATACTTCCCGGCAGTTCTTGCTCGTAGGTATTCTTACATGTTAATACCACTAAAGATACTGAAGATGCTTTAGCTTCATGATTTTCCGTGTGGCTAAGGTAACTGAACCGACTTGCAAACGACGTCGTGGGCCAAGAGTGACAGTGAGCGTGACCGGTAGGGTTCCAGTGGTTGAAGATTAGTTGAAGACTCAGGGCTGCTCTACTAGTTTGTGTCCGACGGGGGTTGGCTTCGCTGTTGAATCATTTCGGCCAGTACGACTACAAGTGTGCAGTTTGCAGGTTTCGGTCGGTATAGTGCGTCGCGGCAGTGAGGGGGAATCGGTTAGGCGTGGTGTGGGATTGCATGGAATGAAGAGGGCCTGGACTTCAGATATCGAGATTGTAATTGTGGGGGCTCGCGCAGTTTACATGCTTCGGTTGTGGCATGGAGCATTGAACGGACGTTGGCGTCCCAGAAGCCGCAGAGCGCTGATGCCGGGGTGAACAGCTCACAAGCTAGCAGCGAAACCATAAATCCAGCACCAGGTGTCGGCTGCAGGGTTTGTAGAAGTCCCTCAGCTGAGGTTAGCAGGATGCGCTTCGCCGTTGCTTGGCTGCCCCTAGTGTGCCAAAAGAAACCTGAAGATTACACCTGATATCCTGTTTCCCGAAGTCGTGAATCGTGTTTCGAAGCTTCGCGCCCTATTTAATCAACCCGTCCGTTAACAATTCGCCGAATGGCTCAAGCCACGAAGCCTTGAACCCCAAACGCATCAACCCTCAGCACCAAAGCACTTTATGCTCCGTGCACTTGCTTGTTGCAAGGTTCACAGTTCCATGGTTACTGAATGTGCCCACAGGAAAAGTCGTGTTGCCGGAAGAAACTGTTCATCCCGCCCTCGAACTGCACGCATTGCGCAATCCACCCCTAGAAAAGGTCCAAACCTGAAAAGAGAACGGAAGCCGCAAAGCCAAGGCCATTCTGCTCCTTTATCCATGTCTTGCAGAGCTCCAGTGCGTGTCCACAGATGCCGTCGGGCTGCGACTGTAGTGATCTGAGCTTGGGGTGGGGACTCCGAAGTGTTGAGGGTTTCAGATTGTTAGCCCAGCTGGGTGGTCCAAACCCCGAAACCCGCAGGCCCGAAACCTTAAGCCATAAAAGCTGGCTTTGTCAATTGAGTCAGTTGTGGGAGGGGGCAGGGGTCCGGTCTGCTCCGTGCAGCTTCTAGGGTTGTCTAGCTGTTGCATGGCTGTAGAGTAGTGCTAGTGCTAGTGCTAGTGCTAGTGCTAGTGCTAGTGCTACTACTACTGCTACTACTCTACTCTACTACTGCTGCTACTACTACTA